TTGTAGGAACCAAATTTCTTCACAGTCTAGAAATAAGAGACAGAAATAAGAATAGAATTTTGCTTCTGTTGAAAAATATTTTGTACACTGATGAAGCTACAAATGGTATTGTTTCTTCGCAAAATATTAGAATGTGGTGTGAAGAAAATCCGCATTGGGTTATACAATGCAAAAGGCAGTATTCCGCTAAGGTGAATATTTGGTATGGCATTTTAAATCTAAAAATCATCGGGCCTTAACTATTTTGAAGGGAATTTAAATGCGGATAGTTTTAGGAGATTTCTACAAAATAAATTTATGGACAAAACCGATGACTTGCCTCTAAATCAAGGGTCGGCAACTGGCGGACCGCGATCCAGGTCCGGACCGCGGAAGGTAAAATCAACGACCTCAGAAAGGATAGACAGTGCATTGTCTTGGTTTGTTTTGTTCTACTGTAAATATTTTGAGAACTCAGCCTCCTATTGGCTAAAGACATGTGGTAATGTGCGCGCGCAGTACCTGCTCTATGCTAGATGTTTATTATTGTTTACGATTGTCAGCCGCCATTAATTCTTTGCATGCTTAGTGAGTTTAACGTTGTGTCTACCGTGGATTATTAGTTTCTTTGGCAGAATTTATTGTTTTTGTGAATAGACAATGGGAAAATATTGTGTTATATGCTGTAGATTTCGCTTTAAAAGTGGNCTGTAACTGTAACTTTGTGATTCCTATTTGAACTGGTAAAAACTTTTATTAATTAGTATTATTTAACATATTGATGTATATTGTTACTGAGAAAATAAAGATTGTTGTAACTAGTATTACTTTTTTTCGGCAGTAAGTGCCGTTATGGAGTAAAACGAACATGGTTCTATTTATTTAAAAAAGAAGTCATTAACATTATTTTAAAACCAAATTAGGTGTGAAATCGGTAAGTATATATAAATTAGACAAATATTAAAATGTATCACCCTTTTTAACACACACGCCACTGGTTAAGAGTTCCCTAGTAAACAAAGAACTATCTTCATCCTTGTTTAATAGCAGGATGTCTCAAGTTGTGGAAAATCAAAACAATTCCTTTGCAATGCATAGGGAATTACTTGTCTAGTCATTCTGAGGTCTTTGGGTAAAATACTGTACCGGCAAAAATGTTTTGAAAATATAAATTAATCAAATAAATTATTTAAAAAATGTTTTTTACGTTTAAGTGCCAATTTTATCATTTTTTCTAGTATTTTACAATTGTGTGTTTTGAGTTCTTAATTAGTAAGCAGATTAAATTTGAGTCCAAATTAAAATAAAAAAATAAGAAATATGAATTTTTTTCCTGACCTCGTTAAAAATTTTCAAAATGATCGCCTTAATTTACATACAGCTAGATGGAGCACCTGCCTATAATTCAATCATAGTGAGAAACTGGCTGAATGAACATTTTCCCAATCAATGGATTAGACGTAACAGCCCTTTAATTCATTGGCCACTACGGTCTCCAGATCTCATACCTCTAGATTTTTTTTTGTGGGGAGCTGTTAAATATAAATTTTATGTTACGAGACCCCAAACGCGAGAAGAACTTTGTTAACGTATTACAGACGCATGCCGTAATATTACTTGTCAACAATTACGAAAAGTAACAATTAATAATCTTCGACGTATTGAAAAGTGTTAAATCATAATATTAAGTTTCGTTTATTACTAATTTGAATAATACTGATACACAATATTCAAATAATGCATGTATTTCGGAAATAAATCTTCAGTTGATTTAAAAAATTAAGGTTTAATTTTCTGCAACACTCTGTATTCTATCACAACAAAAATTAGTATAGTAGGGTTTTAGATAGTCCTGAATAAGAATCCGTCGCAGTTTCTGTCGAAAAAAAATCGCTAGTATTACTTCTCGTTTTTTCCTCCTATAAAACGCGTCTCAGTAGTACATTCTACTCCTTTTTCTGAGATCTATCAAACAAAAAAATGTTGAAACAAATCGGTCAACAATTTTACATGGGTGGCTAATGCTTAAGTGGGACACACTGTATTTAACATTTTAATCAAAACTCAGTATGGATTTCGTAGTAGTATGTCGATAAGTACAGCTATCTAGTTACTTCTAAGAAAACTATATTATTTCATTATGCATGATGAGCGCCCTATCTTTTGGAATCTCAGTAAGGAATCCGATCGTGTCAACTATCAAAGGTTAATATAAAAAAATGTTTTCTCATGATATAAGGGATTTGGCTCTGAATTGGTTACAGAATTTCCTTGAAAATCGGTCTTAATATGCTGCTATAGAGACTAGCTGTACAGATGGTTGTACCACAAGGTTCAATTCTAGGCCCTGTGCTTTTCTTAATTTATATAAATGACTTAAATTCCATCTTATTAAATACAGGTTTCACTATACATATATTGTTCATGTTAGAATAGTTAAAATCAACCAAACTGATTTACTAATAAGTACCATGGTTTTTTTTAAAGAAAAGTATACAAAATAAAACGTTTTTTACTTTGCATCACTGACAATAGTGGTCATACCGAACAATTCTGATACGAGAACCGTTTATCCTGTAAGTTTCTGTAAATTTAGAATATGGTACGTTATTGCGTTTCTATTATCAAATAAACTACTTTTGAAGTGACGTAATTATTTCAAGTTTGAATAAAAAATTGCATCGGTGAAATAATAAAAAAATTTATTATAACTCAAAGGTATTACAACGAATACAAAAATTTTATAATAGGGAAATATGGAAAAATTTTTAACAAGCTCTATATATTATTTTAAATGTTTAAGTTAAAAGAAAATAGATGTTACTACATAACCTCCGACAAAATTTCAATAATTTCTTACAAGGCATTTCAAAAGTTATTTGAAAAAAAAATTGATACTGATTAGTGATTAAGTTAAATCTGTTTATTTTGATGACAGGGAACTGTGCTGGCTCCATGTATACGAAATATTGGAACACCCTGTATGCATTTTTATATAGGGTGTCTCAGTCATGTCATTAATTTTAGCCACGTATTCGGAATCGAAAACTATTTTCTCAACTTTTTAAAAAATAAGCAAATTACTCCTTAACTCTCGTTAGCTAGTGAAATAGTACTATTTCCTCAGTCAACGGTACACGCGTAAGAGTTTATGGACGAATGAGTGAGTGTTTTTTAGCCGTATATGTCATTTTAAATAAGTAGGCATCATACAACTCTGAAAAGTAATATGTTACTTGAACATAAGTAACACTAAAAACTGAGATTCAATTATAAAACAGTGAAAACGTTAAGAATAGGCATTAAAGTTAGGTTAGTGACCGAACAATACCTACGGTAGGTCAAGATTCACTCACGATATAGGTAGGTCAACTGTCAAAAGCGGTCCGAAAAGGAGTTTAAATAATTTGAAAATATTTTTTTTCAGCGTAAATATGAATTTTAAATTATTTTTAATCGAATATTAGTATTCTATACTCGGCGGCCGAAATTATAAAGAGTGACTAATATATAATATAAAAACACTATTACCATAATGCGTATAAAATATAAAATAATTTCTATGCGGTTCAATATTATTTATCTTTGTGCCGCTCGCCATGCACATCGGTAGAATCTATAATCGTGTATAGACTGAGTTACACTGAACGTCGATCTATATTTTATCTCTGTCTTTTGCACTTGGTAGGGAATAGGGAAATGCTTTTTTAGTGGGTGTAAACGGACTTGATTTGCCCGACCTGAGAAACGTCATAGCATAAGCGTAGACGAGGATTCTAATTCCATGGCTATAATAAATTTATGAATTAAAAAAACACAACTGGGACGTTTTAAAATGCTGTAATAATTAAAATTGACCAAAGTGCCGCTTATAGCAAACCGTAAAAAATATTAGATGTTACCTATGTTTTATTATGTTTTTTCAATATTTTCTATATCTTGTTGCCTTTTACGCAGATACGCCAATTGATTTTCGTTCCCGGCACGCTTCATCCCCCTTACTAGTCCAAGAGCTAGCGATGAATCACTATCTATAATTTTGGCCGTCGAGTATACACATTTTTCCCTATATTAATTTAAAATTAATGACATTATGACTGAAACACCCTATATAAAACAGGTCACCACAACTTTAATTACTAAAATACAAATAGAACTTCATAACAATATAACTCTATGGGAGAACTCGGTGGATACATCACAGTTTCTTATTAGGTGCTATACTGGAATTAAGTTAAATTAATTTAATTATACGTTAATAGATATGAAATTCACATCACAAATATGATGCCATATGGCAAGTGATAACAATTTAACCAGAAAAAAACGAGTTGGTTTAAAGAATAGAGAAAATTAAAGTTACTATAATTTTCTCGGGAAATATTAAATTGAAACAAAAATTCAATATATTACTGAAATAAGAATTGAGAATTACTCAAATGATTTAAAAAAAAATTGATTTCATAAATAAAGAATTAAGTCTAGAAATTTATTCAGCAGGGAATTTCTCTAGTGTGCTATTTGGTCAATCGTCTTTTACACAAATGCTGTAGAAGATACCCCATATTGTCCTCCTGCAGATGGACACACTGCACGATATACTTTTCTATACTAGCCGCATTCCTTAGAAAATTTTCATATCGCATACTTAACTTTTATACGGGCGTAAGTCGGTATATCTATGTGCTTATACTTTTATATTTAGTTCAATTATCAATCAACTTGAATTGGATTGATTTTTTACTTCTGTCTGTTCTAAACAAAACAGATATGTAGAATGTTAGAAAATATAGGTATAACTAAAAATATATTTTCGTCATATAAAAAGAATAATCAAGAAAATAATAGGATGACATTCTTTTTCTATTTTGAAATGTAAAAATAAGCAACCAATATTTGTTGTACTGTACTTATGGTTACAATTTTCGGAATATCATATATTTCTGGAAATTAAACAAATTTTCCACAGCTAAAGAGCTACTAACTTAAGATTTCACGCACAAAATTTAAGAATTTCTTACCCAAAATCAGAAAAACTATCGAAAGCAACGACAACATCCACACTATCTCAAGGGGGAAGTTGTTAGTGGCGAGAGGAGGGGCATTGGGTAACGCGCCAAAACCGGGAAATCCCGCATCACCGCCCTCTTGTTGTCGCGCGAGAATACTGTCCACCAGTTCCTTTTTCTGATCTTCCGACAACTCAGCCATGTTTTCAATGGCTTTTAAAAGTTCCTCGGTGGAGGGCATCTTGAAATCCTGGGGAATGTCCCCAGAACCTGCTGCCGCCCCTTCTTGAACACCCTGTAGTAGATCCGCCATGTCTTTTTGCACTACCGACTGAAATACTGACAATTGGAACGATGCAAGAAGTTGGAGAATTAATTTTAAGTACCCGACGACACGTAATGCTTAGAACCACGTTTACTTAACGCCAAATCATCAGTAATGCGCGACTAGCCTGATAAGATATCTGTACAGGAGCGTAAGGTTTTCTTTAAGCATTTACGCAAGGTTTTACGATAGAATATTGAAAACAAAAATTACGCAATGCAGTTATTGACATGTAGAAAGGTGTATGAATGATGAATGAGAGGGCAGCAATGCACTGATAAAAATTGTGGAAATTCACACAAGCTTTTTACATATTTATATTTATAATAGTTTTTATATATGAAATGGATGGAACATATATGATACATTGTGTAAAATTACGGGTTTAGGTGTATACAGGGTGGTCCGAATTTTATGCAGGAAACTTCGGGGGCAGATAGATCTCTTTAAAATAATACGTGTTTGCCTTATAAACATAGGTCTGGAACGGCACCGTTTTAGAGATACAGGGTGTTGAAGTTGTCAAAAAAAAATGATTTTTTGTTTATATCTCCGGAATCTATTAACCGATCTCAATAAACTTTGGTACATATAATGTATGATAGTAGGTTTTATATTTCCTGAAATATGAGCTATAAAGGTTCAACCAGTGGTGTACAACTGGACAGGGGTCACTCCCTTTTTTACAAAAAAACCTACGCCACTGCATTTTTTATATGTCATTGTAACTGATTTATATTCTAATGCACAAATTTCGTAAAAAAGGTAACTTTAATTTTTTTCCCTAAGATTCGTCGTTCTCAAGTTATTCATACCAATACAATCCCCTTGTGGCTGACACTTCTGACGGTAATATTACAAGAATATTTGTTTATGTTTAAAAGTAAGTGCAATTTGTAAGCACATCGACAAAATTATTTACACTCCTTTATACACCACCTGTAAGGTAGTGTGCGATATAAACAAAAAATCATTTTTTTTTAAAACCTCAACACCCTGTATCTCTAAAACGGGGCCATTCCAGACCTATGTTTATAAGACAAACGCATATTATTTTAAAGAGATCTATCTACCCTCGAAGTTTCCTGCATAAAATTCGGACCACCCTGTATGTATATATCTTCTTTTTTACATGTATTGTCACGTTTTACATTGTACGTTTACATTTTAAAATGTATTACTCCCAATACTTAATATTTACTAGGTATACTATATACTATATTTGATATAAATATACGAATACCTATACATTTTCATGACATCATGACCTACTTGACTCAACCAATCCCAGCATGGCGTTACCGCGTAAGTATAGAAAACTGTGCTAGTGGTTCAGTAGACATGTTTAGATTCATTTATAGCGTAATAATATAGCACAGTGCTTTAACTATCTAAAAATACCTAACGTTATAAGTAAATATGCCTTTGTGTAAATTATACAGGGTGATTCAGTCATAATGTCATTAATTTTAACCACGTATTCGGAAGGCTTAATAAAGACAGAAAATCGGAAAAAATAGATTTTCTCGACTTTTAAAAATGAAGGAAATCAACCCATAACTCCCGCTACGAGGGCGGCCCTGGCAGAGGCCCGGATGCTCAGAAAATTTTGTAACGTATTATCACGAACAATTGTCGGCTGAAGAGAACAGCGCTGCCAAGTTCACATCATAATGTATGGTTCACATTTACTGTGGAGCATGCTGCATTTTATTATAAATAATTTTAACAATCATTGTATTAAGTTAGTGCAGAATGTTTTAACAAGCCAGACTTCTCGAAGTAAACTTTCGTTAAAAGAAAATAAATAAAGCAGAGGTAGTTGCCTGTTTGTAGGCACACCGTATTTTATCAAATAAAAAAGTCGGCACACTACTAAATACTCGAATATACAAAATACACTACACACGGTTACAAAACCATTAACAATTTAAAGCGTTTATTCAAATCTACCACCCTCCATATCTCCCGCATTTTTCCCGCAAAGGAGTTAAAATAACACATTTTCAAAAAGTTCAAGCTTTAGAAGCAGCTGATTTCCCCAATCGTCTTGAATTTTGCAATTGGTTCCTAAGCAGCAGAACTTTATTAACAAAGTGCTCTGGACGGATGAATGCTGTTTTATTTGTGCTGGAATTTTAAACAGGTAAAAAATATAAGTATTACTTTCTCAAAAGTAATAAGTGCCTACCTAGGTTACACCAAAGTTTAGATTTACACTAAAGTGTACATTTATTAGGTAAACTTTGGTTATACGCAACTGCATATTGAATAATAAATTGAAATACTAAAACTGTGTATTATTTAACATAATAAATTATAAAACGTGAAAACGTTAATAATATTAAAAATGATATATTGTAATAACCGTACATTGGAAAACAATCATCCGTATTCATTACATTGTTTGCAGCCGTGACACTCTGTTGGCCACGGCACCCTATCTGGCTCCTGGACTATTTGTACACGTGCAAATTAAAAAGTGGGTCATTGACCTAGACACAGGTTAACCTAGGTCGGAAACATGTACCGAGTTGTTTACTTGTCTCCATCCGATTGTTTTTTATCTTCTATTACTTACAGTCAGTATTTAGATACTACATACATTTCACCCTCTCTTTATAATTTATCTAGTGAGTGTTGGTTTTTTATGTCATTATTTTTGTAATGAAATTGAAATGGTTGTGAAATGAAATTTAAATTACTTGAACTCTTGGAGTTTTGTAACTTCAATATTAAATTTTATTTAATTTCTTTGCAGCCATAATAGTCACATTTCGTCAGATGAAAACCCGCATACTACTCGTCGGTTTAGCTTTCAGAGGAGATTCGGTGTCGATGTATTATTAGGCGATCGTTTCCGATGGTTTCATGGGCCGCATTTTCTACCTGAACATCTGAATGGGCCGCGTTACTTTCAATTTTTAGTAGAATTGTTTGCAAAACCTTCCCCTTCAGATGCTACGGGATATGTGGTATATACACGACGGAGATCCAGCCCATTTTGCTCGCGATGTCCGTGTATTTTTAGACGATCAATATCCCAATCGGTGGATAGGGAGATGAGGGCCCATAATCGTATGGACTTTTGTATATGGGGTTATATGAAGTCTGTCGTGTATCACACCGAGGTAGAGAATGTAGAGCAGTTGTGGAATCGTATCGAAGATGCCGCTGAAGAAATACGTAACAACCTTGGTTTATTCCATCACATCGCCGCTCATCTATCTAACGTGTACACTTGTGCATAGACGGTAACGGTAATGTATTTGAACATTTGCTTACAGCAAAAAATTAACATTATGATGTTAATAAAAACTGATTTTTGGCAAGGCATGCTCAGACCTCCTCGAGGTTCTTGCTGGGCAACAATAACAATTTAATGTGTTGATTGCATAATTATAAAAAATAATTTATAGCATTTTAAATTATTATTTGCTGACGTGAGCAAACCGTTTATTTATTGTCTTTATATGAGCGAAAATATATAAATATGGCAAAGTTGTATCTAGGGCGCGTTGTTCATATCGTAGCCGTGCTCAAATTCTGAATAACCGACGACGTCAACCAGTCAGTAACAGCCTGAAAAGGGAGTTAAATAAAGATTTGAAAATATTTTTTTCTGCTTAAATATGCATTTAATTTTTTTTTTAATCATGCCATCATATTATACTCATTTTTCTCTATCTGCTCTTAAAATTAATGACATTATGTCTGAATCACCCTACATATAAATCTCTAGATATATCTCAATTTAAAGTTATTGAAGAGTGCGAGAAACATCGATAATAACCATATTGAACTTTCCTTAACCTTTATACACACATTCAAATGTAAATTACTATTTAAGACCTATTTTATTTATTGTTTTATTGACACCATATCTTGTTTTCAGTTTAATATTTTCAAAAGAAGTGGCGATTACTCTCGAAATGGTTGAAAGATTCCACCTCAAAATATACCTGGACGCGAGAATTAGGGCAAAATATTCATTCAGAAAAAGTCTTCATATGAATGAAAATCGCAGTAAGACTTTTCCCAGGAAATACTATATGAAAAATTTTTTTCTTAATAGCTTAGTTATTTTCAATTTCATGGAAGAAAATATGTCTTATTTGTGCTAAGTACATATTCTTTATTTAATTAATCCTCATAGTTAAAGAGGTCTAAGATTAATTCAAGCTTCATTACGGTTTTCAGAGTAACGAAAGAAATTTGGTGATCATTTTTAAATTTAAATATTCAAGGATAAAAACGTCGCAAAAAATATAAATGTCTAAAATTAAATGTGTACTATGTGGAGTATTGTGTCTTTTAAATAAGTAGGGATGTTTCTTTAGAACGATTTAGATGGCGCTCTGCGATCCAAAGGAATTTTTTGGTGACTTGAAATATCCAATTAATATTGAGCAATTTATGTTATACCGTGCTTTCACCGTACAACGCTACATAGGGAATTAGCTTTGTTCGAGTTCGTAACCTGAATGAAAAATGAACATTTTAATCAAGGCAACTTTATATAAAAAAGATTCAAAGTACCTATGGCCCAAACAAATTTAGTTCTTAAAAACATATTTTTAGGTTCATACAACTCGGAAACCAGTAATTTTCCGGAAACTGTTCACAAAAGTTGCTCAGATGTTTTTTCATATTTTCATTTCAATGTTTCCGTCAAAAAATTTGAATTTAATTTAGTTTTCTTATCTACAGGGTGTTTCAGAAAGACCTCCCGTAAATTCAGGGGGTGATATTACGACAAAAAATTAGTAATGACTAATTACAGTCACTAACAATCACTAAAATTTTGATATAAAGTTAATTAGAGTTTAAAATATTACTGAGAATGTATGCGTTGTTTATGAGACATCCATCAATAAGTTTTGACATAAGCCTACTTTGAGAAGTCACTTATTTTCTTACCCGTAATATTGTAAGAGTTTAATTAAAAGCCTTTTTTCTCGAAAACCGTCCACATTAGGAAATTCTAACAAGAGTACTTACATTATTTATAGAAAATAAAATTGTACATTAGAAATTGCAGCCCGAATGGTAAAAAATCTAGCCTTAAAAAAATTTGAACCTAAAATGTAATAGGAATGTAGCGTAACTAGCGCCCTCTATGGAAT